GGCGGTCAAAATCGGGTAGGTGAAGAACCGGTGCGCATGTCACCGCCTTCTTGAGGGCGCGGAAGGCGTCCTCGTGGAAGGGTGTCCAAGCCCAGGGTGGGTTCTTCCGGAGGAGGGTGGAGGTAAGGATGTAGGAATACCTAGCGTATCCCCGGATGAAGTTACTATAGTAGCTGGTCAGGCCTAGGAAGCTGCAAAGCTGCTTGGCGGATGTGGGAGCGGGCCACTCCGCAATAACAGTGATCTTTGCGTCGTCCATGTGGAGACCCTGGTCAGACACGTTTTGTCCTAAGAAATTCACTTTGTGCTGGGCAAAGCGGCACTTGCTTAGCTTGGCGTAGAAGCCATGTCTGCGCAAGCGATCAAGGACGTCGCGGAGGTGTCTGAGGTGCTCCTCAAGGGTACGACTATAGACTAGGATATCGTTGAGGTAGACGAGAACGTACTGCTCCAAGATGTCCCTAAAGATGTCGTTCATCGCTCTCTGGAAGGTAGCGGGTGCGTTGGTGAGACCGAACAGCATCACCGTGAACTCGTAGTGGCCGAATCGCGATCGGAACGCGGTCTTCAACTGGTCGGCTGCAGCAACGCGGATCTGATGGTAACCGCTACGAAGATCAATCTTCGTAAAGAAGCGGTTGCCTGCTAGGCGGTCGAACAGCTCATCGGAACAAGGCATGGGGTAGCTGTTCTTAACCGTGTAGCGGTTGAGGCCGCGGTAGTCGATGCAGAGACGAAGAGTTTCATCCGCTTTGCGAGCAAAGAGGACGGGTGCACCCCACGGGGAATTGCTAGGGTTTAATGAAACCCAGTCTCAGGAGCTCCTCAAGCTGACGCTTGAGTTCGGTGGCCTCGGGGATCGAGAATCTGTAGGGTGCCTGGTGGTGAACACGATAGTCAGGCACGATCTGAATGGAGTGCTCGACGTCGCGCATCGGTGGGATGCCGGCGTACGAGAACGACGATGGGAAAACGTCGTGGTAATCGCGGATGAGGTCACGAACTGCGGGCTCCAAGTTAGCCGTATATCGTGCGAGTTCCTCAGCGTCAGCGTCAGCGCGCGACGGCGGGGTGGACTCGACGGACGGCGGAGGGACGAAAGTAGAGATGGGAGCCATGGAGATAGAGGGCGGATCTGGCTTCAGAGGGATGAGCTCGACGTCGGGACAGGGTGGATCATAGTGTAAGAGATCCGTCACGTCCACCATAAAGAAGGTGACGTCGTCCTGTCGAATGACGTGAGCGAACTGCCGAGGCGAGGCGACAGTGATAGAGGGAGATGGTGTGGGCACTGAAGGCTCCGGGGGAGGAGGATCGGGGCGTGGTGTC